TTGCAGGCACGCTGCTTGCAAGTGCTTACAACATATAATGAGTCCTGTGACATTACAGCTACTGAGGACGGTAAATCTCCAGCACCAAAGAATCGATGGAGTCGATGACCGCTCCGGTGATGGCAGTGACCTGAATGGCAGGATCCCGATGACCCCTGAAAAGTTTCGATCCAAAATGGAAGAGGCTGTCTTTACTCACAGATCCGATGCGGAAAGCGTCATCCGTTTGCAAAAAAAGATATTTTTCGAAAAGGTGACGGCCTGCGAGCACCTTGAGTTGGAAGGCCTTCCAGCCGATCAAATGCTGGCGTTGGCTCATGCTTTGCCACTCTACAAGAACTTGAAAAGCTTGACGCTGAAAACCTTTCGATGTGACGAAGAGCAGGTTGAAGCCCTTGCAGAGGCACATTGGGCACATTGACCTTTGTCATCGCTTGATCATGCAACGTTTTTGCATTCTTCAGTGTGCATGTGTCGACTCTCGCGCCCATGGAAGGCCTTCGCAACCAGCGGATTGCAAATGATCACAGTCCGCAATGACGACGCCAAGAGCACTACACTCATGGTCAAGGCGTTCTTGGGATCCTGAGTTAAATGTAATTGTTTCATATTTGCATATATTTGTTCTCAGATGTTCTCAGGATTTCAGTGATCAGGTTTTGACGGTAGAGCCCACCGCTGAATGCTTCTGTTTTCATATGTTTTCGACATCCTTTGACAGTGACAAGTTTGGATGGTTTGGAGGTCCTGTAGTTTCATCATTCATCTCTGTTCAAGGAGAGTTGTCGAACATGTAGATGCTGTAAGCAACTGTCAATTTCTGCATTGGTTTGCTAAGTTCTGTATCAGAGAGATTCACATGTCAGGGTCAAATGTCATGTGTTCTCCGGATTTCAGTGATCACGATTTGAACGGTAGAGCCCTGGATGAAGACGCCAGCCTTGATCTGTCTCTGTTTCCAGGCCTTGGCCGAGGCGCTGAAGACAAACTCGTCCGTCACGAGCATTGATTTGCGATACAACGGCATTGGTGCCGAGGGCGCCAAGGCCTGGTGTGTGGGATGGGCTCCGCAGAATCGCTGAATGCTGCGGCATGTCATGATGTCACTTTCCCATACTTTCCCGGCATCCTGTGACAGTGACAAGTTTGGATGGTTTGGATGGTTTGGAGGTGCTGGAGTTTCGTCATTCATGGTTGATCGAGGGGACTTGTTCGAACATGTAGATGGTGAATTTCTGAATGAAAGTGCGGATTTCTGGGTTGATTGCCATTGTTTGCTAAGTTTCGCATCAGAGAGATTCACATGTCTGAGTTAAATGTAATTGTTTCATATTTGCATAAATTTGTTCTCAGATGTTCTCAGGATTTCAGTGATCAGGTTTTGATGGTAGAGCCCACCGCTGAATGCTTCTGTTTTCATATGTGTTCGACATCCTTTGACAATGACAAGTTTGGATGGTTTGGAGGTCCCCTGTAGTTTCATCATTCATCTCTGTTCAAGGAGAGTTGTCAAATATGTAGATGCGGTAAGCAACTGTCGCTTTCTGTATTGTTTGCTAAGTTCTGTATCAGAGAGATTCAGATGTCAGAGTTAAATGTCATGTGTTCTCTGGATTTCAGTGATCACGATTTGAACCGTAGAGCCCTGGATGAAGACGCCAGCCTTGATCTGTCTCTGTTTCCAGGCCTTGGCCGAGGCGCTGAAGACAAACGCGTCCGTCACAAAGATCGATTTGGGATGGAACGACATTGGCGCCGAGGGCGCAAAGGCCTGGTGTGTGGGATGGGCTCCGCAGAATCGCTGAATGTTGCGGACAATGTCATGATGTCACTTTCCCATACTTTCCCGGCATCCTGTGACAGTGACAAGTTTGGATGGTTTGGAGGTGCTGGAGTTTCGTCATTCATGGTTGATCGAGGAGACTTCTTCGAACATGTAGATGGTGAATGAAAGTGTGGATTTCTGGGTTGATTGCCATTGTTTGCTAAGTTTCGCATCAGAGAGATTCACATGTCTGAGTTAAATGTATTTTTTTCATATTTGCATATATTTGTTCTCAGGATTTCAGTGATCAGGTTTTGACGGTAGAGCCCACCGCTGAATGCTTCTGTTTTCATATGTTTTCGACATCCATTGACAGTGACAAGTTTGGATGGTTTGGAGGTGCTGGGGTTTCATCATTCATCTCTGTTCAAGGAGAGTTGTCAAATATGTAGATGCTGCAAGCAACTGTCGCTTTCTGCATTGTTTGCTAAGTTCTGTATCAGAGAGATTCACATGTCAGAGTTAAATGCCATGTGTTCTCTGGATTTCAGTGATCATGATTTGAACGGTAGAGCCCTGGATGAAGACGCCAGCCTTGATCTGTCTCTGTTTCCAGGCCTTGGCCGAGGCGCTGAAGACAAACGCGTCCGTCACGGACATCGATTTGCGATTGAACGAGATTGGCGACGAGGGCGCCAAGGCCTGGTGTGTGGGATGGGCTCCGCAGAATCGCTGAATGCTGCGGCATGTCATGATGTCACTTTCCCATACTTTCCCGGCATCCTGTGACAGTGACAAGTTTGGATGGTTTGGAGGTGCTGGAGTTTCGTCATTCATGGTTGATCGAGGAGACTTCTTCGAACATGTAGATGGTGAATGAAAGTGTGGATTTCTGGGTTGATTGCCATTGGTTGCTAAGTTTCGCATCAGAGAGATTCACATGTTTGAGTTAAATGTAATTGTTTCATATTTGCATAAATTTGTTCTCAGGATTTCAGTGATCAGGTTTTGACGGTAGAGCCCACCGCTGAATGCTTCTGTTTTCATATGTTTTCGACATACTTTGAGAGTGACAAGTTTGGATGGTTTGGAGGTCCTGTAGTTTCATCATTCATCTCTGTTCAAGAAGAGTTGTCAAATATGTAGATGCTGTAAGCAACTGTCGCTTTCTGCATTGTTTGCTAAGTTCTGTATCAGAGAGATTCACATGTCAGGGTCAAATGTCATGTGTTCTCCGGATTTCAGTGATCACGATTTGAACGGTAGAGCCCTGGATGAAGACGCCAGCCTGGATCTGTCTCTGTTTCCAGGCCTTGGCCGAGGCGCTGAAGACAAACGCGTCCGTCACGAGCATCGGTTTGTTTTCCAACCACATTGGTGCCGAGGGCGCCAAGGCCTGGTGTGTGGGATGGGCTCCGCAGAATCGCTGAATGCTGCGGCATGTCATAATGTCACTTTCCCATACTTTCCCGGCATCCTGTGACAGTGACAAGTTTGGATGATTTGGAGGTCCTGTAGTTTCATCATTCATCTCTGTTCAAGAAGAGTTGTCAAATATGTAGATGCTGTAAGCAACTGTCGCTTTCTGCATTGTTTGCTAAGTTCTGTATCAGAGAGATTCAGATGTCAGAGTTAAATGTCATGTGTTCTCCGGAACGGTAGAGCCCTGGATGCAGACGCCAGCCGGATCTGTCTCTGTTTCCAGGCCTTGGCCGAGGCGCTGAAGGACAAACGCTAGTCCGTCTTCGCAACATTCATTTGGAAGCAACCAGATTTGGTGACGATGGGCGCCAAGCCTGGTGTGTGGGATGGGCTCCGCAGAATGGCTGAATGCTGCGGCATGTCATGATGTCACTTTCCCATACTTTCCCGGCATCCTGTGACAGTGACAAATTTGGATGGTTTGGAGGTGCTGGAGTTTCATCATTCATCTTTCATCGCAAGGAGAATTGTCAAATATGTAGATGCTGTAAGCAACTGTCGCTTTCTGCATTGTTTGCTAAGTTCTGTATCAGAGAGATTCACATGTCAGAGTTAAATGTAATGTTTTCTCCGGATTTCAGTGATCACGAATTGAACCGTAGAGCCCTGGATGAAGACGCCAGCCTTGATCTGTCTCCGTTTCCAGGCCTTGGCCGAGGCGCTGAAGACAAACGCGTCCGTCACGAGCATCGGTTTGTATTCCAACGTCATTGGCGCCGAGGGCGCCAAGGCCTGGTGTGTGGAATGGGCTCCGCAGAATCGCTGAATGTTGCGGACAATGTCATGATGTCACTTTCCCATACTTTCCCGGCATCCTGTGACAGTGACAAGTTTGGATGGTTTGGATGGTTTGGAGGTGCTGGAGTTTCGTCATTCATGGTTGATCGAGGGGACTTCTTGGAACATGTAGATGGTGAATTTCTGAATGAAAGTGCGGATTTCTGGGTTGATTGCCATTGTTTGCTAAGTTTCGCATCAGAGAGATTCACATGTCTGAGTTAAATGTAATTGTTTCATATTTGCATATATTTGTTCTCAGATGTTCTCAGGATTTCAGTGATCAGGTTTTGACGGTAGAGCCCACCGCTGAATGCTTCTGTTTTCATATGTTTTCGACATCCTTTGACAGTGACAAGTTTGGATGGTTTGGAGGTCCTGTAGTTTCATCATTCATCTTTCATCGCAAGGAGAGTTGTCAAATATGTAGATGCTGTCAGCAACTGTCGCTTTCTGCATTGTTTGCTAAGTTCTGTATCAGAGAGATTCACATGTCAGACTTAAATGTCATGTGTTCTCCGGTTTTCAGTGATCATGATTTGAACAGTATAGCCCGGGATGAAGACGCCAGCCTTGCTCTGTCTCCATTTCCAGGCCTTGGCCGAGGCGCTGAAGATAAACTCGTCCGTCGAGAACATCAATTTGGCAGACAACAAGATTGGTGCCGAGGGGGCCGAGGCCTGGTGTGTGGGATGGGCGCCGCAGAATCGCTGAATGCTGCTGCATGTCATGATGTCACTTTCCCATACTTTCCCGGCATCCTGTGACAGTGACCAGTTTGGATGGTTTGGAGGTCCTGTAGTTTCATCATTCATCTTTCATCGCAAGGAGAGTTGTCAAATATGTAGATGCTGTCAGCAACTGTCGCTTTCTGCATTGTTTGCTAAGTTCTGTATCAGAGAGATTCACATGTCAGACTTAAATGTCATGTGTTCTCCGGTTTTCAGTGATCATGATTTGAACAGTATAGCCCGGGATGAAGACGCCAGCCTTGCTCTGTCTCCATTTCCAGGCCTTGGCCGAGGCGCTGAAGATAAACTCGTCCGTCGAGAACATCAATTTGGCAGACAACAAGATTGGTGCCGAGGGGGCCGAGGCCTGGTGTGTGGGATGGGCGCCGCAGAATCGCTGAATGCTGCGGCATGTCATGATGTCATGTCCCCGACATCCTTTGACCGTGACAAGTTTGGATGGTTTGGAGGTCCTGTAGTTTCATCATTCATCTTTCATCGCAAGGAGAGTTGTCAAATATGTAGATGCTGTCAGCAACTGTCGCTTTCTGCATTGTTTGCTAAGTTCTGTATCAGAGAGATTCACATGTCAGAGTTAAATGTCATGTGTTCTCCGGATTTCAGTGATCACGATTTGAACGGTAGAGCCCTGGATGAAGACGCCAGCCTTGCTCTGTCTCCGTTTCCAGGCCTTGGCCGAGGCGCTGAAGATAAACGGGCCCGTCACGAACATCAATTTGACAGTCAACAAGATTGGCGACGAGGGCGCCAAGGCCTGGTGTGTGGGATGGGCTCTTCTGAATCGCTGAATGCTGCGGCATGTCATGATGTCACTTTCCCATACTTTCCCGGCATCCTGTGACAGTGACAAGTTTGGATGGTTTGGAGGTGCTGTAGTTTCATCATTCATCTTTCATCGCAAGGAAAGGTGTCAAATATGTACTCGTATGCTGTAAGCATCTGTCGCTTTCTGCATTGTTTGCTAAGTTCTGTATCAGAGAGATTCAGATGTCAGAGTTAAATGTCATGTGTTCTCCGGATTTCAGTGATCACGATTTGAACGGTAGAGCCCTGGATGAAGACGCCAGCCTTGATCTGTCTCTGTTTCCAGGCCTTGGCCGAGGCGCTGAAGACAAACTCGTCCGTCACGAGCATCGGTTTGTTTTCCAACGACATTGGTGCCGAGGGCGCCAAGGCCTGGTGTGTGGGATGGGCTCCGCAGAATCGCTGAATGCCGCGGCATGTCATGATGTCACTTTTTCATACTTTCCCGGCATCCTGTGACAGTGACAAGTTTGGATGGTTTGGAGAACCTGTAGTTTCATCATTCATCTCTGCTCAAGAGGAGTTGTCAAATATGTACTCGTAGATGCTGTAAGCAACCGTTGCTTTCTGCATTGTTTGCTAAGTTCTGTATCAGAGAGATTCAGATGTCAGAGTTAAATGTCATGTGTTCTCCGGATTTCAGTGATCACGATTTGAACGGTAGAGCCCTGGATGAAGACGCCAGCCTTGATCTGTCTCTGTTTCCAGGCCTTGGCCGAGGCGCTGAAGACAAACTCGTCCGTCACGAGCATCGGTTTGTTTTCCAACGACATTGGTGCCGAGGGCGCCAAGGCCTGGTGTGTGGGATGGGCTCCGCAGAATCGCTGAATGCTGCGGCATGTCATGATGTCACTTTCCCATACTTTCCCGGCATCCTGTGACAGTGACAAGTTTGGATGGTTTGGATGGTTTGGAGGTGCTGGAGTTTCGTCATTCATGGTTGATCGAGGAGACTTCTTCGAACATGTAGATGGTGAATGAAAGTGTGGATTTCTGGGTTGATTGCCATTGTTTGCTAAGTTTCGCATCAGAGAGATTCACATGTTTGAGTTAAATGTATTTTTGTTCATATTTGCAAATATTTGTTCTCAGGATTTCAGTGATCAGGTTTTGATGGTAGAGCCCACCGCTGAATGCTTCTGTTTTCATATGTTTTCGACATACTTTGACAGTGACAAGTTTGGATGGTTTGGAGGTCCTGTAGTTTCATCATTCATCTCCTTTCAAGGAGAGTGGTCAAATATGTAGATGCTGTAAGCCACTGTCGCTTTCTGCATTGTTTGCTAAGTTCTGTATCAGAGAGATTCACATGTCAGGGTTAAATGTCATGTGTTCTCCGGATTTCAGTGATCACGATTTGAACGGTAGAGCCCTGGATGAAGACGCCAGCCTTGATCTGTCTCTGTTTCCAGGCCTTGGCCGAGGCGCTGAAGACAAACGCGTCCGTCACGGACATTGAGTTGGCAGAGAACAAGATTGGTGCCGAGGGCGCCAAGGCCTGGTGTGTGGGATGGGCTCCGCAGAATCGCTGAATGCTGCGGCATGTCATGATGTCACTATTTCATACTTTCCCGGCATCCTGTGACAGTGACAAGTTTGGATGGTTTGGATGGTTTGGAGGTCCTGTAGTTTCATCATTCATCTCTGTTCAAGAAGAGTTGTCAAATATGTAGATGCTGTAAGCAACTGTCGCTTTCTGCATTGTTTGATCATTGTTTGCTAAGTTCTGTATCAGAGAGATTCAGATGTCAGAGTTAAATGTCATGTGTTCTCCGAATTTCAGTGATCACGATTTGAACCGTAGAGCCCTGGATGAAGACGCCAACCTTGATCTGTCTCCGTTTCCAGGCCTTGGCCGAGGCGCTGAAGACAAACTCGTCCGTCACGAGCATCGGTTTGTATTCCAACGACATTGGTGCCGAGGGCGCCAAGGCCTGGTGTGTGGGATGGGCTCCGCAGAATCGCTGAATGCTGCGGCATGTCATGATGTCACTTTCCCATACTTTCCCGGCATCCTGTGACAGTGACAAGTTTGGATGGTTTGGATGGTTTGGAGGTGCTGGAGTTTCGTCATTCATGGTTGATCGAGGAGACTTCTTCGAACATGTAGATGGTGAATGAAAGTGTGGATTTCTGGGTTGATTGCCATTGTTTGCTAAGTTTCGCATCAGAGAGATTCACATGTCTGAGTTAAATGTATTTTTTTCATATTTGCATATATTTGTTCTCAGGATTTCAGTGATCAGGTTTTGACGGTAGAGCCCACCGCTGAATGCTTCTGTTTTCATATGTTTTCGACATCCATTGACAGTGACAAGTTTGGATGGTTTGGAGGTCCTGTAGTTTCATCATTCATCTCTGTTCAAAGAGAGTAGTCAAATATGTAGATGCGGTAAGCAACTGTCGCTTTCTGCATTGTTTGATCATTGTTTGCTAAGTTCTGTATCAGAGAGATTCACATGTCAGAGTTAAATGTCACGTGTTCTCCGGATTTCAGTGCTCACGATTTGAACGGTAGAGCCCTCGATGAAGACGCCAGCCTTGATCTGTCTCTGTTTCCAGGCCTTGGCCGAGGCGCTGAAGACAAACGCGTCCGTCACGGACATTGAGTTGGCAGAGAACAAGATTGGTGCCGAGGGCGCCAAGGCCTGGTGTGTGGGATGGGCTCCGCAGAATCGCTGAATGCTGCGGCATGTCATGATGTCACTATTTCATACTTTCCCGGCATCCTGTGACAGTGACAAGTTTGGATGGTTTGGATGGTTTGGAGGTGCTGGAGTTTCGTCATTCATGGTTGATCGAGGAGACTTCTTCGAACATGTAGATGGTGAATGAAAGTGTGGATTTCTGGGTTGATTGCCATTGTTTGCTAAGTTTCGCATCAGAGAGATTCACATGTTTGAGTTCAATGTATTTTTCATATTTGCATATTATATTTGTTCTCAGGATTTCAGTGATCAGGTTTTGACGGTAGAGCCCACCGCTGATTGCTTCTGTTTTCATATGTTTTCGACATCCTTTGACAGTGACAAGTTTGGATGGTTTGGATGTCCTGTAGTTTCATCATTCATCTTTCATCGCAAGGAGAGTTGTCAAATATGTAGATGCTGTAAGCAACTGTCGCTTTCTGCATTGTTTTCTAAGTTCTGTATCAGAGAGATTCACATGTCAGGGTTAAATGTCATGTGTTCTCCGGATTTCAGTGATCACGATTTGAACGGTAGAGCCCTGGATGAAGACGCCAGCCTTGATCTGTCTCTGTTTCCAGGCCTTGGCCAAGGCGCTGACGACAAACGCGTCCGTCACGGACATTGAGTTGGCAGACAACACGATTGGTGCCGAGGGCGCCAAGGCCTGGTGTGCGGTTGTCTCCGTTGAATGCAGCGGCATGTGTTCATGTCATGTCCTTGACATTCTTTGACAGAAAGAAATTTTGTTTGTTTGGAGGTGCTGTAGTTTCATCCTTTATCTCTGATCGAGGAGAGTTGTCAAATATGTAGAGGCTGTAAGCAACTGTTGATTTCTGGATTGTTTGCCAAGTCTTGAATCAGAGAGATTCACATGTCAGGGTTAAATGTCATTTTGTTTTGACCATAGAGCCCTCGAGCAAGACGCCGACCTTGATATATCGCTGCCTCCAGGCCTTGGCCGATGCACTGGAGATCAACAAGTCCATGACGAACATCGCTTTGCAATACAACCAGATTGGCGCTGAGGGTGCCAAGGCCTGGTGTGTGGTGGGCTTCACAGAATACTCGCTGAATGCTGCGGCATGTATTGATGTCATTTTTTGACAGTCAGACCTAGGATTGCAGCCTCATCGTTTTCTCTTTTGACGTGAGTGAATAGACATGCTCCTGGTTAATGAATTAAAACAGCATCCAGGCAAATTGAATCCAGGTTCTTCATCCTTAGGAATCCGGAGGAGACCTCCTCTACCAATGATCTGGGATATAATACAATTCTCTTCATCCACTTGCAGTTAGATTACATGTCCGAATTTCCGTTTGATGTAGAATGAGCTGGAGATGCATTTCCTTTCGCTATGTTTTGATCAAATCTAGGGCATTTTTACAACAGGAATCACATCCGCAGTTATTTCCAGGAAATCTTGCTGCAGAGAACCATTCTAGATTTCAATATAAGAGACTGATATAAAGATTTTCTGAATTCAATCAGAGGTAGCTTCAGCACAGGGTGTGATTCCTTCTGGGTGACCCCAGGGTGTCTCACATGTTTCCTTTGCAGGCTCCATGTTTTCTGATCAATGTGTGATCAATGTGTTTGATTTTGTGCTGCAAACCGTTGAAGGCTGGTAGGCACGGCGGACAGTTTTTACAGACACTTTGGTCCGACCCCCGCTTTCCCCATGGCATGCCCTTAGCACATGTTGGCAGGAGGAGAGTGACAGGCAAGCGCGCAGAACTCCTTTCGAAACTCCAGTCCGTCTCCAGGCCCGTTTGCCGTCTCGCGTGACAATGGCGACAGTTTTTAATTCAAGTGTCTACGTGCACGGATCGCGCTCATGCGTGAAAATGTGCATGCCCTTAATCACATAAAGGTTAAGTTCTTTCCATGTCGTTGTTCCTTGGAAAGATGGGATTTTTAAAAGGCTATGGCCAGGTTTCTATTCACACTGCCTTTTGACTAAAAGCCTTGATCTGTCGCTGCCTCCAGGATTTGGCCGACGCACTCAAGATAAACGCGTCCGTCACAAACATCGATATGCGATGGACAATTGGTGCCGGGGGGGGCAAGGCCTGGTGTGTGGGATGGGCTCCGTAGAATCGCTGAATGCTGCGGCATGTCATGATGTCATGTTTTCGACATCCTTTGACAGTGAGAAGTTTGGATGGTTTGGAGGTGCTGTAGTTTCATCATTCATCTCTGATCGAGTTGAGTTGTCAGCAAATTTGCGGATGCTGAATATTGCTGAATGATCTGAATGAACTGGGGATGTCTGAAGAATTTCTCCATTGAATGTCATTTGCTTTGAGCATTTCAAAAGTCAGGTTTTGTCTGTAGGGCCCTGAAACCGAGACGGCAACCTTGATCTGTCGCTGCCTCCAGGCCTTGGCCGAGGCGCTGAAGATAAACACGTCCGTCACAGATATCAGTTTGTATAACAACCGGATTGGCGACGAGGGGGCCAAGGCCTGGTGTGTGGTGGGCTCCGTTGAATGCAGCGGCATGTATTCATGTCATGTCCTTGACATTCTTTGACAGAAATAAAATTTGTTTTTTCGGAGGTGCTGTAGTTTCATCATTCATCTTTGATCGAGGAGAGTTGTCAAATATGTAGAGGCTGTAAGCAACTGTTGATTTCTGGATTGTTTGCCAAGTCTTGAATCAGAGAGATTCACATGTCAGAGTTAAATGTCATGTGTTCCCCGGATTTCAGTGATCACATTTTGAACGGTAGAGCCCTGGATGAAGACGCCAGCCTTGATCTGTCTATGTTTCCAGGCCTTGGCCGAGGCGCTGAAGACAAATGCGTCCGTCGCAAACATCGGTTTGGGACGAAACCAGATTGGCGACGAGGGCGCCAAGGCGTGGTGTGTGGTGGGCTCCACTGAATGCTGCGGCGATTTGATGGAAGATGTCATGTCCCCGACATCCTGTGACAGTGACAAGTTTGAATGGTTTGGTCATTCATCTCTGATCGAGTTGAGTTGTCAGCAAATATGTAGATGCTGAATGGGGATTGTTTTTTCAAGTTTTGAATCAGACAGATTCGATATCTCTCAGTTGAATGTGAATTGTTCGTGGGATTTCAGTGATCAGGTTTTTACGGTAGAAACCACGAACGAGAGGCCAACCTTAATCTGTCGCTGCCTCCAGGCCTTGGCCGAGGCACTGAAGATAAACGCCTCTGTCGCAAACATCAATTTGAGAGAGAACCAGATTGGTGCCGAGGGCGCCAAGGCCTGGTGTGTGGTGGGCTGGGTTGAATGCTGCGGCATGTCATGATGTCATGTTTTCGACATCCTTTGACAGTGAGAAGTTTGGATGGTTTGCAGGTGCTGTAGTTTCATCGTTCATCTCGGATTGAGTTGAGTTGTCAGCAAATTAATATATGTAGATGCTGAATGAAACCGTGGATTTCTGGATTGTTTTTCCAAGTTTTGAATCAGAGGGATTCGACATGTCTCAGTTGAATGTCAATTGGTCGAGGGATTTCAGCAATCAGGTTTTGAGGGTAGAACCACGAACGAGATGCCAGCCTTGATCTGTTGCTGCCTCCAGGCCTTGGCCGAGGCACTGAAGATAAACACGTCCGTCACAGATATCAGTTTGTATAACAACCAGATTGGCGACGAGGGGGCCAAGGCCTGGTGTGTGGTGGGCTCCGCAGAATCGCTGAATGCTGCGGCATGTCATGATGTCATGTTTTCGACATCCTTTGACAGTGAGAAGTTTGGATGGTTTGCAGGTGCTGTAGTTTCATCGTTCATCTCGGATCGAGTTGATTTGTCAAATACTCCCAATCCAGCTGTATGGCATACATTGTCATACTGTATGTAGATGCTGAATGAAACCGTCGATTTCTGGATTGTTTTTCCAAGTTTTGAATCCGAGAGATTCGACATTTCTCACTTGAATGTCCTTTTTTCTGAGCATTTCAGAAATCAGGTTTTTTCCGAAGGGCCCTCTAACAAGACGCCAACCTTGATCTGTCTCTGTTTCCAGGCCTTGGCCGAGGCAATTAAAATCAACAAGTCCATCACCTACATCGATTTAGAAAAGAACCAGATTGGTGCCGAGGGGGCCAAGGCCTGGTGTGTGGGATGGGCTTCGCTGAATGCGGCGGCATGTCATGATGTCACTTTCCCATACTTTCCCGGCATCCTGTGACAGTGACAAGTTTGGATGGTTTGGAGGTCCTGTAGTTTCATCATTCATCTCTGTTCAAGGCTAGTTGTGAAATATGTAGATGCTGCAAGCAACTGTTGATTTCTGGATTGTTTGCTAAGTTTTTGATCAGAGAGATTCACATGTCAGAGTTAAATGTCATGTGTTCCCCGGATTTCAGTGATCACATTTTGAACGGTAGAGCCCTGGATGATGAAGACGCCAGCCTTGATCTGTCTATGTTTCCAGGCCTTGGCCGAGGCGCTGAAGATAAATGCGTCCGTCGCAAACATCGGTTTGGGACTAAACCAGATTGGCGACGAGAACGCCAAGGCGTGGTGTGTGGTGGGCTCCACTGAATGCTGCGGCGATTTGATGGAAGATGTCATGTCCCCGACATCCTGTGACAGTGACAAGTTTGAATGGTTTGGAGGTGCTGTATAGTTTCATCATTCATCTCTGATCGAGTTGAGTTGTCAGCAAATATGTAGATGCTGAATGGGGATTGTTTTTTCAAGTTTTGAATCAGACAGATTCGATATCTCTCAGTTGAATGCGAATTGTTCGTGGGATTTCAGTAATCAGGTTTTGACGGTAGAAACCACGAGCGAGAGGCCAACCTTAATCTGTCGCTGCCTCCAGGCCTTGGCCGAGGCACTGAAGATAAACGCCTCTGTCGCAAACATCAATTTGAGAGAGAACCGGATTGGTGCCGAGGGCGCCAAGGCCTGGTGTGTGGTGGGCCCCACTGAATGCTGCGGCGATTTGATGGAAGATGTCATGTCCCGGACATCCTGTGACAGTGACAAGTTTGGATTGTTTGCAGGTGCTGTAGCTTCATCGTTCATCTCGGATCGAGTTGAGTTGTCAAATACTCCCAATGTATGTAGATAATGAATGAAACCGTGGATTTCTGGATTGTTTTTCCAAGGTTTGAATCAGAGAGATTGGACATGTCTTAGTTGAATGTCCTTTTTTTGAGCATTTCAGAAATCAGGTTTTGTCTGTAGGGCCCTTAAAATCTAGACGCCAACCTTGACCTGTCGCTGCCTCCAGGCCTTGGCCGAGGCACTTAAAATCAACAAGTGCGTTACGCAGATCAATTTGTATAAAAACCAGATTGGCGACGAGGGGGCCAAGGCCTGGTGTGTGTGATGGGCTCCACTGAATGCCGCGGCGATTTGATGGAAGATGTCATGTCCCGGACATCCTGTGACAGTGACAAGTTTGAATGGTTTGGAGGTGCTGTATAGTTTCATCATTCATCTCTGATCGAGTTGAGTTGTCAGCAAATATGTAGATGCTGAATGGGTATTGTTTTTTCAAGTTTTGAATCAGACAGATTCGATATCTCTCAGTTGAATGTGAATTGTTCGTGGGATTTCAGTGATCAGGTTTTGACGGTAGAAACCACGAACGAGATGCCAACCTTAATCTGTCGCTGCCTCCAGGCCTTGGCCGAGGCACTGAAGATAAACGCCTCTGTCGCAAACATCGATTTAGAAAAGAACCAGATTGGTGCCGAGGGGGCCAAGGCCTGGTGTGTGGTGGGCTCCACTGAATGCTGCGGCGATTTGATGGAAGATGTCATGTCCCCGACATCCTGTGACAGTGACAAGTTTGAAGTTTGGAGGTGCTGTAGTTTCATCGTTCATCTCGGATCGAGTTGAGTTGTCAAATACTCCCAATCCAGCTGTATGTAGATGCTGAATGAAACCGTGGATTTCTGGATTGTTTTTCCAAGTTTTGAATCAGAGAGATTGGACATGTCTCAGTTGAATGTCCTTTTTTTGAGCATTTCAGAAATCAGGTTTTGTCTGTAGATCCCTTAAAATCTAGACGCCAACCTTGACCTGTCGCTGCCTACAGGCCTTGGCCGAGGCAATTAAAATCAACAAGTCCATCACCTACATCGATTTAGAAAAGAACCAGATTGGTGCCGAGGGGGCCAAGGCCTGGTGTGTGGTGGGCTCCACTGAATGCTGCGGCGATTTGATGGAAGATGTCATGTCCCCGACATCCTGTGACAGTGACAAGTTTGAAGTTTGGAGGTGCTGTAGTTTCATCGTTCATCTCGGATTGAGTTGAGTTGTCAAATACTCCCAATCCAGCTGTATGTAGATGCTGAATGAAACCGTGGATTTCTGGATCGTTTTTCCAAGTTTTGAATCAGAGAGATTGGACATGTCTCAGTTGAATGTCCTTTTTTTGAGCATTTCAGAAATCAGGTTTTGTCCGAAGGGCCCTGAAATCGAGACGGCAACCTTGATCTGTCGCTGCCTCCAGGCCTTGGCCGAGGCACTTAAAATCAACAAGTCCATCACGCACATCTATTTGAAAGGCAACCAGATTGGTGCCGAGGGCACCAAGGCCTGGTGTGTGGTGGGCTCCACTGAATCGTTGAATGCTGCGGCATGTCATGATGTCATGTTTTGGACATCCTTTGACAGTGAGAAGTTTGGCTGTGTTGGAGTTGCTGTAGGTTGCATCATTCATCTCGGATTGAGAGTTGTCCAACATATGTACTGTAGCTGCTGCGCAAAATTGCTATGAATTGTTGTCCAAGTTTCGAATCAGAGAGACTCACCTGTTTCGGCTACATGTCATTTGTCCTGGCAATTTTTCAAACACATCACCTGTTGCATTGCGCTATCTGCTTGCGACTGAGTCGTCAACCATAGCAGGCCCTGACGGAGGCGGTGGAGGAGCGAAAGAGGAAGGGCGTTCCCTTGACATGTCATCACTGAGGCCGGGAAAGCTCTGGGGTGATGCGATGGATCTCCTTTTTAGGCCGACATGGATTGGTGGTGTTGGAGCGATCAACCAGCTGGGCTTCAGATTTCGCCTGCAGGTTGCTGCTCTGGAAGTATGTGAAGCCTGGAGTCGCTTCATTAGACAGGAGAAGACAGGTCTCACACGTTTCAGCCCTTACACATGATGCTGTCCGGAGCCAGAAATCGAGCGCTCAGCGTGCGGAGGGAGGAGGTTAAACAACCCCATGCAACTGCGAATCAAAATTGTGCACCCAAGGCAGCCCTGCAGTCTAGTGCTAGTTCATGCCAAATCCCAACATTCCAGGCACCGAAAGATTTGCACCTTGCACAACAAATCTCAGAAGAAATTCACTTCGAGCTGGATTCAGAGTATGAAAAACAAAGAAATCAGTGTGTCTGGGAGTAAGTACCAACTTCTTTAGGCAGAGGAGAACTTCTGAATGATGGGCATATAGGCATACCCTATCAATGGCCACTCCATTCATACCTCACCATTTGACAGATTCAGTCTCATGGTACGCTCTACTTATATATCCTATTTTTTGGTATATTGAAAGGCTTCTATATACTTTGGAGTGCGTAGTTTAAAATCCATGGTAACATACTTTCATGTACTTGCAGATCATTCTGGTAGCTGGTAGCTCGTGCTGAATCTCCTATGAACTCCTGTAGTGTTGTAGTACTGGTGCTCTGTGTTGTGCTGTTTGCGAAGTCGCTCGCTGGCTTCGGTCATCCTTTCTTCCCAATTCACGATGGTGACAATGGTGATAGCCCACCGCAAATCGTTGGGCTTTTTTTTCTCAGCGCGGTGGTTTTGTTCTTCTCTAGGTGTGCAGTGCAACACCGTTCAATCTTTATGTGCAATATTGGGCGTTTCGGCAATTCACAAGATTGTGTGGATGCGTGCCCAAGATTAAATTGGTTCCAAAACGTGAAGAACAACTTTTGTGGACCAACCAATCAATCAATCAATCAATTGGACCAAACTTCCATAGGGGTCAGCACGCAACAGTAGCTGGTTGACGAGAGCATGATGGAAACTTTGATACAGTGCAAACAACTTTGATACTCGTACATTGAAAGCCAACCACAAACATGGAATTTTGATTCACAGTATACTTGCTAGTATCTTGCAATCTCCGATGAAACCTGAAAACATCCGATTTGAATCTATTTGAAGTATATAATCATCACCACAATCACCACAATCACCACAATCATCATCATAATCACCATAACCCTAAGAATCATCCCCAACAAATTTCTCGGAACTGGCGATTTGTTCCGTGGTCCATCGCTACCGTTGCCATCCAGCTGGAGCGCCATGTCTCGGGGCGCTGGGCTTCGAGGTCCGAATCTTGGAACGTGGCGAGGGCGATGTCCGAAGTTTCCGAAGTTGGGATATGGCAGGGTTGATTCAAAATGACTCAAACACAGTTTCTTCAAACAGTTTGCAGTCATTGGGAAATCAACCCTGCCAAATGAGATGGCCCCAAACAGTAGGGCCAATACAGAATGTTTGCCCCAATACAGTCATCCACTTGGATTTACCATTTTCGGTGTTCACTTACACAGTGACATGGATGAATGTCGTGCACACATATTTTCTGCTGTTTTTGGCTGGGAAGATGGCAGAAAATGACAAACACGCAAGGCGAAGATGTGGCTGGCGGCTTTGAATATGCCCGGATTTTCCTACCAAACAGATGCACTGATTCTCCCTATTGGCGTTCACATTTTGGGGCCTCGGGTGGCTCAAAACCTGGTGAGTTTTCATCTAATTTTGCTGGGTTGGTATCCAGTTATGTCGCCCATTTTTTCACCTACAATAGTGGGTCCCATACGGAGTGATATCCTCATGCAATTGGGGATGCAAGTACCATTTCACACAGCTTGATGTTTAACCGTCTTCTGACACATATGGCAAATCCCAATTTTTGGTGAAACAAACTTCCATTTCTGCAGAATTTCGAGCCTCCCATCTTTGTGGATCAAATCTTCATATTTTTTGCCCTGGAAAATCGCTGGCTTTCTGTCGTTCCACCCCGATGGATCCGACCTTTTTCGGTAGGATGCCGTTTGGCGCCTAGACGGAGGAGGATTGGCGCTTGAGGGACCGGCGCCAGCCAGGTGCGTTTTTTTTTTTTCCACACTTGGACGTGGTGCAGTTCCAGTGAACTAAGTGGATAGATTTCACACGACATGATTTCACCATAGTTCAGTTATAGTGGCCCCATATCCCAATTTATGATAATTTATGGCTGTCTCAAGAATTGCCCCATAAACAAGCCCAAGTGCAATCCCAAGTACAGATTTCACCAACTATGGCGATACACTTGGGATATCATCATCATCATCATCACCACCATCATCATCATCATCATCATCATATCAGCATGTAACCATGGGATGATTATTCTGGGATATACATGGAATTACAATTGGGTTCAGTACTAATATGGGGTTTACCTGGGAGATCTAACCAACTTAACCAGAAACCGGTTTCATGGGCACCAGCCAACTAAGATGGGATTTAATGGGATATTATGGGACTAATACTCGTACCAATAATGATAGTGTTTAATGTTTCTTGATTTAACCAGTATATAAACATGAGAACATAAATGATCGGATAGAACCAACGACATGCAATTTGGGTTTCTGAACAATTAAGAATACTACACAATGGCAATTTTAGGGGTGGCAACGATGATAAATCATGGTATTTAGGGGTACCCGACGAAACTCGGGGAGTTAATATGACACCAACGGGATTCCGCAATCGACATGCGAATTGTGATCCCTTCCCCCCAATCATCCCAATTCACCGTTTGTTTCACCAAAACAAACAGATCCAATGGTCAAATTGTCGCACTCATGGGCGAAGCGATCAATACGGATGGAGGCTAAACAAATGGATGCTCTGAGATATGGGTTGATTTGAGAATAGGGTGCCCCAAATCCGCTTGATGGACAATTGGTGTAGCTAAGATTATTGTACCCTCTAGTAATTGGACATAGCTATTGGAAATTGCCGATTGATAGATGATTTACCTGGTAAAAGTGGTGATTTTCCAGAGCTAAGTTAAATTACCAGAGGGCACTGTACCATTCATACCATTCTTCAAAGAAATCACAATGAACACACGCCCTTTCTTTGCGGCAAAACAGATTGCAAGCTCGTCTACTTGAAGGTACCCCCTTGCAATCTAGGCTTCAGATTCCCCATTGACTTGTATACTTGGTGGTCCCATTTAGTAAATACCTTATAACTTATAACATCTATAACTTATAACATCTTATAACCCTGGTTGTAAACGGGTAGGGTGATCCTCCACTTCAAACTGAAGGGAACTAGCCTATAAAAACGATTCCGTAGGATGAGATGAATTTCCATGAGTTTATCTCCGTATTTCCACAATATGTCCTATCTTTTCGACCATTTCCCCCTCCAAAACGACTGGTGGTTGGTTCACTTCTTCACTCAGCTGGTATGATCAAGTATATCCCCAAATAAATATGTCATATCCTCATTATGCCATCATTCCACCACCTATTTTTCTTGGTGAACGTCCCGTCCCCTCTCGTTCTGCCGCCAGGTCCCTGAGCCATGACGAAGCCTCCACGCCCGATGTCCTGGCGAAGGCCGAGGCCTGTCGTGCCCGGTTGGATGGTTGCCGTGGGATTCCACTACCCTTCATATGGGGATGATCATAACCCATTTATATCCCCAACCAGGCAGCAATATTAGATTCAAGGGACGCATAATCCATTATAATCCATTATATATGAGAATACCACTAATTAATTGACCGGGCAGTATGAAAGGGACGAGGGTTTTGAACACTGCTCGTTTGGTAATTTAACTTGGACATGGGTTACTTTAAGCAGCAAAATAAGGATCTCACTACTTGATGTATCAACGGTATCAACCAACCCAAAGATAGTTATGATCTACGGAGGTTTCCAATCCATGGGGGTACCCCTAAATCATCCAATTTCAGCTTGGGATTTTCCATGAAAACCAACCAGCTATTGGGGTACCACCATGACTATGGAACCCCCATAGCTATGAAAAACTGCTTGGGATAAGCTGACTGAACGATCTGGTTGGATCCATTGGATCCTCCAGGTTCAATCCACCCATGGCTTGAGACCGGTTGAGACGTGGAAAAGCCATGCTTTCCATAGCCATAACCCAGACCTCATGTTGAAACATGGGCCTACCGGGGAAATTTTTGCGTTTTCCTTACCATCGACAAATTGCGAGAAGGATCGAGAAACTGTGTGGGTTCCGGAGGTTGTTTGCAAGAGTTGTTGAACTGTCGGATATGTTTGAGGAATAAAACCTGGTTAATTAGGGACGTTCCCCCAACATAGTGATGTCATTGGATACTAGAATGGTACACCCCCCTAATTAGCAACAACCCAGTGAATAAATGTCGGGCTTGATGTTACCTTCCAAACTGACTATATACTCAGCTCCCATCTTGGTTGCCTCATGTTCCCAGGAACTGTAGTCACTGTAATCTTTTTGGCATTGGAGTATCCTCGCTTCGGCATGCTGCATGCTCCGCACGCGCGGTCAGGAACGTGAAACCGCTGTGATCGTGGCGCGAGAAAAGGGAGCGAGGGGCTGGTGAAAACCTGTGGCTACGCTTCGGTAATCAAACATGGACAGCTGGGAACTCCCCAACCAAAATGGAGGTTTAGTTCGCTGGGAAAAGAAAATGGGTGATTCTCCATTGCCAGGTTTGACTACTGGAGGATACATTTTGATGAGATCGTTTTTTCCATTGTTGGGTTGCTGATGCTACCGCATGGTGTTGAACTTGCACCCACTTTCGGGCTGAAATTGTAGAGTGTCAAAGATTGACGCCAAGTGACTTGTGAGACAAAATGCACATTTGTTTTCTCAGAATGGGTGGCTTTGTTCTTCTGTAGGTTCGCAGTGCAACACCGTTCAATCTTTCTGTGCAATTTTGGAGCGTTTCAGCCATTCAAAAAAATGTGGATGCGTCCCCAAGGTGAACTTGGTTAAAAAACGTGAAAAAGACATCCAACCATTTCGAAAGGAGTGGAGCTGACCAGGTTTTTCTCAGCACTCCAGAAACCCAACTGGATGACTCGCTGACTCGTTATTTTCTCTATGGCTGTTTATGATGCAGCTCGCAGCTCAAAAGTTCTGATAGCGAATGTATGCGAACGGAAACAGCAAACTCACGATCCCAAGATCGTCAAAATGAAAGGAATACAAACATTCCAAACAGGGGTACAATGTAGCCAAAAAAAGTCTCACATGTGTCAGAAGTGTCGATCTTATATGATTTTTCTGTGTTTTCTTTGATTGTGCGATTCCAGCACAGAGCCTTGCCCCGCTTTGGAACAGTAGAGACCAGTGCGGAGCCTCCCTGCAAGGCTCAACTCGAAGGGAAGGGTGGTTTAGCCATTCAGATCACTTCCAATGACTTCCAATCCTTCCCGTGCATTTTCTTGCTGTGAATATACGTTCCATTGCAATGGGTCCAATGATTTCCAATGTTTCAGCTTCATGTTGCGTGTGTTCTCTATGAAATGAATCCGTTTTTTCGCAAGACATGGATCCAATTTGCCAGTGCATTTCATATCATTTCATTCTTGAAGGTTGCTGTAAATATATTATAACATTTTCAGCAAACAACCTGGAATTTGCAATCCGATCCTGGCTGCAATAGCTTGTCAGCGCAACTCAGCCCATTTCAATGGCAGGAAAAATATATCTCTCGCATCCAACCGACAGTGCCACCAGTAGTAACGTCAGGTCTACGATTTGAACTCATCTGGCCTACTGTACCTCAAAAGATGCAGTGGATCAATGTAGATCATGACCAATTAGGGCCGCTACCTCCACTACCTCCACATATATGGGACAATACACAGATCAATGAGGGGAAACATCATTGTTGTGTAGATGATGGACGATCTCCATGAAGTCTCCTGTTTTCCTGTCCACAGCTGGGGTTCTCGAGTTGTCGCAGGACGCCTTGGCATCATGGGTTCTGGCGGCTCATCTCAGGCCAGATTTCTCCATGGAAAACCTTCTCATCGAACAGGGAACTGTTTTGGGTTCATACTTCCTGTACAGGTTTTGAGACAGCGCCTTTGCCCTGTCTCCCAGTTACACGTCGACTCCTTCCTTCGTTTTCACTGGTTGAAGAGCTGTTTCAATCTTCAAATTTTCACTTCAGCCTGAGGTTTCGACATGTTGAACTTTGCTCATGGCGTGACTTTGGGAGTTTCCTTGAGAAGATGCAATAATGACATGGTTGTTCTGCAAGTTGCCGCAGGCGGACCAAGTGGAAACAGCAAGATGTCGAGATCTTAGACTTTCAAAATCTGTGAACATCTGGGAACTGTGGTTGCAAGGTTCCTTGCATGTGGCATGACTTGTTTGACGCTCTTGGCTCCGCGTTTTGATTGTCTTCGGCTCAAAAAAAGTGCGCCCAGACCACCACTTTTGCACAGTAAGGAGGTTGTAGCACCAGTATCGGAGTGCAGTATGAAATGTTATTGTTTGGTTATTGTTTGATTCCCGTCGTTTGGTTTTCCGATTCACGCAGGTTGGTTACTGAATCATCCGTTCTTGGATTCAGAAACCTCTTTGGTTTCCAGGTGACACGCAACAGAAGTCGTGCTGCACTGGTGTTTGCAAAGTGTATTCATGTTTTGCTTCTGCATTTTCTGAGGGAATGACATTATGCCGACCACCCAGGAGCTGGGTGTCTTGGGTCTTTGCAGCAGAACATGTTGAAATTCCTTGACAGAATCATGAAGCTGCGTGGGTGACAGGAGCACACCCAGTCAATTGACAGCGACCCGGAAGTTGGGAAGCTCAGGAAATTAGACGTCAACTTCTGAAGACGAAGGGTGTTGGCACTTTTTGATAAGGTCTACACTACTAGCTTGATTTGTGGCTCCGAGGTTATCACACAGGTAGCAAGGCTTGGAGGTTCTTGTCGTAGAACTTGGACGTTACCCGACTTCCAACCTGTGCAGCGAGCTTTTGGTACAGCCAAAGCGTTGCCTCAACACAATATTGTGCAAGAAATACCACAATTTGGGAACAGAGGAGATTCCCGGATTTTAGGTTGAATAAACCGTGGTTTCTGCATGTTTCCGCTACATCTTTTCCATGGTCATCCATTGGTTGCAAACGCATCTTCCTCAACACATCTGAGGTTGAGCCTATGACATACTGTATATGTATATAGATGTAAATATGATTAAATATGTATGTATTATATATAATGTAACTTATCATATACTACATACTGTCCTGTACCCAGGTCTTCGATCGTACCACTTTATTTTCCAGCGGGCCAAAACTTGTTTGACACAGGCAACTGCAACACCGGAGGTTCTTGATGTTTTTTGGTGTCAAGCTCCTTGAAACCATGACATAGCCACTGATGCAGCAGGCCAGTGAATAGGCACCCGGAGCTGTCACGCATATAGTTTGCGACTCGTTTTTGGAGAGTTTGATTAAACCGTTTACTTTTTTTTTAAAAAATTAACGCCCAGAATAAGGATCGGTCACTTGGGATTGATCAAAAAGTCTTGACCTCTTGGAGATAGGCTTTACACTATTATAATATTATATATATATATTAATATATATATATATATATTATGATATAGATTATAGACCCTATAATAGAATATTCATATACAGGATATATAATACACATATACAATCATATGCACATGTTTCATATTCATATCATTACCTACTTGTATCCTCAAAGTGTTGCGCCCAGGCCCACAGTGCGCTGTTCAAGGAGTCAACATTTCACTGCCTCGACTTTGAGTCTGCCTGGATTGCCCACAACATCATCAGACATATAATCATACATACCAATCGAATCCAATAGATATGATATGATATTTTTTCCCGAGAGCGTCTGAGCGCAGGGTTCTTCCAATAGTGGGGGTCTGCATCTCATCTTCTCATCTTCACACCTTCTCATCTTCACATTTTCTCATCTTCACATCTTCTCATCTTCACATTTTCTCATCTTCACATCTTCTCATCTTCACATCTTCTCATCTTCACACCTTCTCTTCTTCACACCTTCTCATCTTCACACCTTCTCATCTTCACATCTTCTCATCTTCACATCTTCTCATCTTCACATCTTCTCATCTTCACAGCTGCTCATCTTCACATCTTCTCATCTTCACACCTTCTCATCTTCACATCCTCACATCTTCACATCTTCTCATCTTCACATCTTCTCATCTTCACATCTTCTCATCTTCACATCTTCTCATCTTCACAGCTGCTCATCTTCACATCTTCTCATCTTCACATCTTGAGTTCTTCACATCTTCTCATCTTCACATCTTCACATCCTCACATCTTCACATCTTCTCCTCTTGCCCTTTTGCCCTCTTGTCCTCTTGCCCTCTTGCCCTCTTGCCCCTCTTGCCCTCTTGCCCCTCTTGCCCTCTCCTTCTTTTCTATTTCTCTTCTGAAGGCGGGGGCAGGGGCAGTGCCAACGAGACGGCACGAAACGCAACCCTTTCGCACGAAACGAGGTTCGATCGCCCAAAGCTGAGGTAAAATTGCGATTTCAACTTGTCCGGCGCAACCCTTTCACACGAAACGAGGTTCGATCGCCAAAAACTGAGGTAAAATTGCGATTCGAAGGTGTCCCGCGCAACCCTTTCGCACGAAACGAGGTTCGATCGCCAAAAACTGAGGTAAAATTGCGATTTCAAGGTGTCCGGCGCAACCCTTTCGCACGAACTCGATCGCCAAAAATGAGGTAAAAGTGCGAGTTCAAGTCGTCCCGCGCAACCCTTTCGCACGAAATGAGGTTCGATCGTCAAAAACTGAGGTAAAATTGTCCCGCGCAACCCTTTCGCACGAAACGAGGTTCGATCGTCAAAAACTGAGGTAAAATTGCGATTTCAAGTTGCTCCGCGCAACCCTTTCGCACGAAACGAGGTTCGATCGTCAAAAAGTGTGTAAAAGCTTTTGTGTGTGAAATCGTCTGTGTGTGTGTGTGAAAGTGTTTGTGTGTAAAAGCGTCTGTGTGTAAAAGCGTCTGTGTGTAAAAGCGTCTGTGTGTAAAAGCGTCTGTGTGCAAAAGCGTCTGTGTGTAAAAGCGTCTGTGTGTAAAAGCGTTTGTGTACAAAAGCGTCTGTGTGTAAAAGCTTTTGTGTACAAAAGTGTCTGTGTGTGTGCAAGCATCTGTGTGTAACTGTGTGTGTGTAAGCGTCTGTGTGTGTGCAAGCGTCTGTGTGTAACTGTGTGTGTGCAAGCGTCTGTGTGTAAAAGCTTTTGTGTGCAAAAGTGTCTGTGTGTCAAAGTGTTTGTGTGTAAAAACTTTTGTGTGCAAAAGTGTCTGTGTGTCAAAGTGTCTGTGTGTAAAAGCGTCTGTGTGTAAAAGCGTCTGTGTGTAAAAGCGTCTGTGTGTAAAAGCGTCTGTGTGTAAAAGTGTTAGTGTGTAAAAGCGTTGTCTGTGTGTCAAAGTGTTTGTGTGTAAAAACTTTTGTGTGCAAAAGTGTCTGTGTGTCAAAGTGTCTGTGTGTAGAAGCGTCTGTGTGTAAAAGCGTCTGTGTGTAAAAGCGTCTGTGTGTAAAAGCGTCTGTGTGTAAAAGTGTTTGCGATGCAAACTATTGTCTTGTACTTATGCTATATTGTCTTGATACTCCTCTTCTCGACTGCCTATCACACATCTTTAGCATATTGTTTTGTAATATGGTGTCTCCATACTAACAAGAGAAGACCCTGCTCCTCTACGCTCTCGGGCCATCCGTCGTCTAGTTAAATTGCATCTTTTAGTTGAATCTTTGAGTTCCTGGGTGGACTTTTTGAATCAACGTATCAAAGCTCCAAGGAGATCATGGAATCCATCGAGGTCGTCTTCACACACTTTTCCCAGCCAGAGGGATTTCTGGCTGAACGCCTTGGGGATGCCATGCGCGTTCTCCGGATGAACCCCACGGAAGAAGAGGACGGGCATGGCTGCGATTTTCGGGGCAGATTGGGCTGACCTTTGGAGTTTGAATCACGAAAGCTTGCATCTCCCTGTCCGATGTGCTTGTTTGCCTTTTGTGCTTTTCTATTTCGATCTGCAATCAGGTCCGCAAGCACTTGGCAGATCTTGGGGGGCCCCAGTACATTGACGAAAGGACGTTTCACCATTTCATCAAGGACTCAGGGTTTGGGACTGGTTCCATGTTTGGCGAAGTTTCACGATGTTCCCGGCGTTTTTTTGGTGAAGTATGCTTGATGTTGCTGCCGTTTCCGCGATTTTTGGATTTCAATGATCTTCACCGATTTTTTTTACTTTTTTTTACTGCAAGCTGCAGCACCACGGCACCACGCAGGATGAATTGATCAAGCATTTCGAGAAAGTTCAGGCCAGATGATGACAGCACAGGGCCCAATTTCATGTGTCCGTGCCTTTTACATCCTTTTACTAGACTCAGACTCACTGGTACAGTTCTGCGCAGGTAGTGGTTGACTACTTGAAGCAATATGACAAGGACGGCAAAGGTGCCTTGTCCAGGGAAGAATTGCAAGAAGCGATGCGAGGCGCGGTGTGATTTGTGGAGTTCCCTTGGGATGGACCGAGTGGATCGACTTTTGGAAGGAACTCGGAAGGAACTCGGAAGGAACTCCGATGGCTCGGAAGATCTGTTGATTTTTCGGGTGCTCCGGGGTCCCTGCAACTTGCGTCCAGGAAGAGAGTGCCAGGAACTCCAGGTGGGAGAAGTTGCGCGGAAGCGACCTGAAATCTTCAAATTTCCCAAGCCAACAAACTGAAAAAAAACGTGTTTCACTTGCCATTCTTTTCATGTTTCTTCCACTTCCCAAATTCAAACTCTTAAATCTACTGCATTTTCACTTGTACACTTGTAAAACAACACTATTTTTGGTTTTCGCAGTGGTTCAATGGGTTGTTTTTATTTCTTTGCGTGACCTTGGATTCACCACTGATGGTTTTTCTTACGTTCCTTCAAATGTACAACTTGCAGAGTCGACAGCTTGGCATGCGTCGCGAGGCAAGTGTCGCAAAGGTGCCGAGCAACAGCAACCTGGATGCAAACTGCAACTTGATAGTTTGCCAGTTTGCCAGTTGGATGGAACCACACATCTCCACAGGTTGTGGCATCCTTTGCTCGAAATATGGACAGTTCCCATCCCACTTTAGGCAGGAAGTGGCCAAAAAAGGTCTAAATTGTGCTTTTTCTGGGCCTTGTTTTTTGTTGAACCTTCTATTTTTCCAACGCACAAGGGCTCAGATCCCAGTTTATTTTGGCGCCTGAGGTCAAGGTCACCTAGACATTGTGGAGCTGGCAAAGTGTTTCTTGGAGCTTAGCGACTTTCAGGCAGGTTGCCGGAAGACAGTCACTTTCTTCGTTGCACGTCTAAATCCCACAATCCAGGACATGAAAACTCATGAAAACAATTCTCTTTATTTATTTTTCCCCCTTGGTCCTATCATATGTGATTTTGAGTTGAGAATCTCTGCATTGCGCCATAAGTCTAGATATTACAGTTGCTTGCTGATCCTTTTCTTCCTCAGAAGATTTGGCACATATTGATTGGGTTGTAATGATGCTTTTAGGTGAAAAAATGCAGATCCATTCTGAAACTGAAGCTCTTTGACCGAAGTTCGGCCTTTAACTTCGCAACCCTATCAATCAGAGTAAATCCACTTCTGGTTGTGCCGGCGAATGACATGTAGCAGTGTACTCATCGTGGCTTAGAAACGGTCACATTTGGCCAAAAAACATGTAGCAGTGCAACAGATTCCTCACTTTGAATGTCAAGAGTGGCGTCATGCCGTTTCCTTAGTCCAACAAGAAGAAGGGCTCAACGAAAAAGTGAACAGTTTCTCAACACTAGACCATCAGATTGTTCTGAGACTTGGGGAGCCTAATGCACTTCCTTCATAGCTACTAACGCTTCTTTATTGGACCATCTTCAATTTCTAAAGCTTTTGAGCGGGGAAGTGTGGCGCTTTTCTGACGCCATGGCTTAATCAAACAGGGACAAGGGCGAGGTGACCCTTTTTCGTTTTCATCGAATTAGTGATCTTAAAGCCGTTGGGAACCATTGATCTTAATTAATTACTGTCTTTCTAGTTCAGAGTTGAGATTGCAATAAATTTCCTTGCTTAGGAAAGAGTCATAATGAGTCTAGGAATGTGCTGAGATAGCTCCCCAACATGATTGCAAACGCAAAGACAACGAACGCCCCTTAGTCCATGCCCGGCATCTATTATTTAGTGTTGATTTGAACGAAACACTGTAAAACGATAGTGTCCCCAAAAAAAAACGATACCAGGCGTAAACAATTGCACTTCAGTGTGCTGTTTAGAAAAAATCAAAACATATTTTATGTAGGTGTTTTGAACGACTGTTCTAAGCCTTCATTGGGAGGTCAGGTTGTGGCCATTTGCTTTCCAGCTTTCTGGTGGAATTTTTGTCGTTGAATTTGGTGCCGTTGGGCGGTCCGAAAGCTCCAAAAATTTTTTGCGCTTCAAATTTGACCGGACACAAACTGTGCACTTTGGCACTCCCGAGTCACTTTTCGGGCTCTGACCTCAGGATCCCTTCCAGATTTTGGCCTCCACAGATGCTGTGTTCAAATACTTCTCCAAGCCGTGTGGAGTGCCGGCTGCTCGACTCGGGCATGCCATGCGTGTTCTTGGGATGAACCCCACGGAAGATGAGGATCCTTGGCAGCAATTCTTGCTGCGTTTAAATCTTTCCCGCACTTACTTCCCTGTTGTGTTAATGTTTGTTCCTGCTTCTGTTGAAGGTGTATCGTAGGTGTATCTTCCTGCAACCGAAATCAGGTGGAGAAGCGTTTGACGGATCTGGGGCGTCCGGAGTACATCGACCAAAATGTGTTTCACAATCTCATGGAGGACCGCCGGTGCTTTTGTTTTCCGTGAAGTTAATTTTGCCGTTGTGGATGGTTGAAAAGAAAACTTTTTTCTGATCAACAGCAAGGCATATCACAGCATTGAGCAAACTGAAGTTCTGCCGTTTCTTGTGATCGCGCGGGTTTTGATCTCCGTACGATGTGCAGAGCGGCCTTACAAGGCTCTGACTTTTTCTGCAAGCTGCAGCATGGTGCAGGAAGAATTGGGAAAGCCGATTCCGAAAGTTCAGGCCGGTCAAGTGATAATTCATCATCAGGGGCGCGCCAATCAAGCTTGCAGTCAAGCTTGCAATCAAGCTTGCAATCAAGCTTGCTGTCATGTTGGGATTTTACTCACTCCTTCTCATCTCGTTCTGTGCAACAGATGCTTTCGGAGACTCCGTTTCTCTGTTTGGCCAGTGTGTATGCGCAGGAATTGCTAGACTATCTGAAGCAGTTTGATAAGGACGGCAAAGGTGCCTTGTCCAAGGAGGAACTACAAGAAGTGATGAGAGGCAGGATGAGATGTGGTCGGAATTATTTAGAAAATTACGACCGGTAGGAGGTCAGAGAGGAGTTCCCATTTTAAGAGATCAACACAGAGCTGATGAAGTGTGAAGTGACACGCTGTGAAGGAAGGATGCCTCAGTGTCTATGGCTCGAACTTTTGCCGCGTCCAGGAAGTGAGCTGAGCCCGGATGAAGTCCAGGTGGGAGCTGCAGCATGGAACTTGTGATGGATGTTGTAGGTTGTAGTGTCTGGAGGCTGGAAGCTGCAGTACCTTCAAAGCTCGTCAAAGTCTGTCAAAGTTTGTCAATCAGTAGCCCTCTCTCTATATATGATATATGATATAATTATATATATATATAAATTATAGCATACACATACATATGATAATGAATAAAAAACGATACATAACAATGAATATAATTATATATATATAATATTTGTAACGAGAGCAGAATCAGAACAATGCTTTCCCTGAAACCAATCCATCGACGTTGTCTTCTCTGATGATTGTCACCACAGCACAGTGAGGCCAGTCTTCGGAAGATGCCGAGGAACAGCGGCCCGGTTGCAAGGCAATCCTCTTCCACGGTTCAGCGCCCCACAGGTCTTGTCATTGAACTTGTCAAAACCATGAGGTGCATTCCATTATAGCCACCATAGCCATCTATTGCTCATGAGGTGATGGTCACCTCGACATCGCGAAGCTATCCAAGTACTTCTTGGAGCTTGGCGGCTCTCAGGCGCGGCGGTGTGATGTGGTGATAGGCCATACACTTGACAACCTGTTGCATGTCTGAATGACATGGAAACCCGCTTGTCAAGCAATCAATTTGTTGCCTTACAGATCCTGATCTCGAATATCAAAGTACGGTGTTCGGCTCATCGCAGTTGAAAATCGACAAAAAAGAACGGAAGAACGGAACCTTATCGCCGTCCCGACAGGTTGGGACTGAGACAGCCAGGTGGGCTGAGAGTTGTGCTTCTGACCGAATACTTTTTTCCCGATCTTTCAACATCCGAGATTGATTGAGCAAAGCAATGTACCTTCCTGGCATGGTGTGTGACATGTTCTGACTTATAATTTATGAAATAATCATAATATAGTCATATAATATTCCTGCAACATTGTCCCATCTTGGCATTTGGTTTGCAGAGGATGGAAAGGGATCGTTGACCTGTGCAGTCGGTGCTTAGGCGGGACGTCGCCTCCAGGGTGCGCGAAGCCCGCGAGCTCAGTGGCGATGAGGATCCCTTCAGTCAGCCACTCTGGCCCCTCCCATTTGATCCGAAGGCCCCCTGGGTCACCCTGGCACCTTGCAGGCTTTGCTAAAGCTCCCCATTTCTGCATCTCACTTCGAAATCGTTTCTTTAACTCCAGGGATCCGTTGGATTGGCGTAACCCAGCTTGAGTTGCCGGCGCCTAAGGCCATTGTTCGGATAGCCGAGGCAGAGGCCTGCCCACCATCAACCCTGTGTCATGCATGTCAACCTAAGATCACCTAAGATCCTATCCTTGTCATTAAACCTCCGTGAGCGGGTTCGTGTTCGTGTTTTTCTCCTGGTCGAGGATTGTCTTGTGGAGCCATCTTCCCCGGGCACACCTGGGCACCAACTTCGACCTAGGCTCAATACGACTTGAAGGACGCAAAGGCGTTCGCGCAATTCCTCCAGGATGCAGACGTACGTTTGGTTCGTGCCAGGTGCAAGTCCTACTGTTGTTACGGTTACTTTGGTTACGTAGTCCTTGCTGAGGGTTCGGGACTTCCTTTGCATCTGACTTGCCCAACATCAAATGCATTGCCTCAGGTACCTCACTGAGCTGGTCCGTTCCGGACGCCCATTACCACGTCGCCAAGAACTTGAGTCTAAGACCTTTGTTCCTCCAAACTCCGAAGAGGCTGAAACAGCCTTGGTGAGCCACCAGGAAGTACAGACCTGGGCTGAAGGAAATAGGGATGCGATCATCTGCTCGATCTCCCATGCTTGGGAGACTCGCGAGCATCCAGATCCTTGTAGGTATCAGCTCGAGCATATTGTGCAGCGTGTTGTCTTGTACGAAGCTGCTTTCAAAGCTGATGTTTGGGTGTTTTACGATTATGCATCGTTGTTCCAATTTGAGCGGTTCTCTCCTGAAGAACAAAACAGCTTCGGAGCAGCCATGCAAAATATGCATGTGATGTACGCGCACGAGCATACGCTGACCCTGCGTATCGAAAGTCTCACACCAGATGATGTCTGGAATCGCATGATGGCCAACGAGACGGAACTTGTCCCTGTTTATGACAAGGACGAGAAGAATGTCGTAGCCAAACCCTTGAAGGATTTGTTTCCAAACCGGAACGCGTACACGTCTCGCGGATGGTGTATGGCAGAGGTGGAATGGAGTTCACTCAGGTCTGGCTCTCAGAATGTACATGAGTTGTATCTTGATTTGTTTTGAAGGCACGCTGCTTACAAGTGCTTACAACATAATGAGTCCTGTGACATTACAGCTACTGAGGACGGTAAATCTCCAGCACCAAAGAATCGATGGAGTCGATGACCACTCAGATGATGGCAGCCGCGTGAAACTGAATGGCAGGATCCCGATGACCCCTGCAAAGTTTCGCTCCAAAATGGAAGAGGCGGTCTTTACTCACAGATCCGATGCGGAAAGCGTCATCCGTTTGCAAGCAAAGATATTCTTCGAAAAGGTGACGGTGTGTGAGCACCTGGAGTTGGAAGGCCTTCCGGCCGATCAAGTGCTGGCGTTGGCTCATGCTTTGCCACTCTACAAGAACTTGAAAAGCTTGGTGCTGAAAACCTTTCGATGTGACGAAGAGCAGGTTGAAGCCCTTGCAAAGGCACATTGGGCACATTGACCTTTGTCATCGCTTGATCATGCAACGTCTTGTGCATTCTTCAGTGTGCATGTGTCGACTCGCGCCCATGGAAGGCATTCGCAACCAGCGGATTGCAAATGCTCACAATCGACAATGACGACGCCAAGAGCACTACACTCATGGTCAAGGCGTTCTTGGGGTTCTCTTTTAAGCAACCCCTTTTTTTTCATGTGCGGTTGAGCACTTCATAAGAACATTTGGTGCAAGAAAAATATTGGCTGGTGCAAGATGGCGTAAGGGGTTTGTCAAGGATGTGTTGCGTAAGCATGGTGCGTAAGGGCATTTATGGTAAGCTCTTAAGATTCATGTAAACGGTAAACAACTGTGTATGTGCAAGTTGTGCACCCGCACCTTCTTCTTGTATGGTTTGCCTTTGGCATGACTGCCCGGAAGCTGCACATCAATTTTTGTAGTCCACAGGCCAAGATTCTTTTTGCGCACGTGCAACTGCGCCAGAGAACTCAAGCCTCCGTTCATGCGTTTGGCTCTTCATCGTCATCCTCCTCTTCAACCTTCAGCTCGTCTTCACCAATGCACCCAACATACTTGGGAGATCAAAACAGGCCAACCCGCCCTTGCATAAGCAAAAACTGTTGCAAGGTGTCATACAAATCCCTCTGAGGGAGGGCAACATAAGGTCCTGTCTGGACGGTACAGTATTGTGTCCAACGCATACTCCAGCAAAACAAGTTTTAAAAAACGTTTTGTCCGTGTGGGAAACTCATTGACGATTTAAAGCTACTATATGTCATACCTAGAAAATATCTTGGGCTACAATTTCAGACCGAAGGCACATATCAGACTGAATGCAATTCGTGCAGAAAATCAGACTGAGGACAAGTTCGGGCAGCTTTAACAAATTCAGGCACAATTCTGGTGAACTTGTTCTGATTCTAGGATCTAGGCTGGCTCAAACACAGCTGAAACATGTTAAATCACCTTGACCGAGACCATCCTCGGGTCGAGTGTCTACTAAAGTCTAGCGCAACCACTACTACTAACTACTATCTACTAAACTATACTATACTTATAATATAATTCTGAGTGAACAACCTATGATGGAAAGCAACTCAGAAACCTGGGGAAACATGTCTTGGTCCTTTGCGCAGTAGAGGCATAGGAGTGACGCACTGTGTTGTCCAGATTTTTCTGTGACGATGACGAGCTATAGCGTTTTATGTTGATATGGACAGGGCCTGTTTTGTGACAAACTCGGGCAACAATTTTCCAGAAGCATCTTTAGTCATGTGAACAATTCGGGCGAAAAATGCCCGAAATCAGGCGAAAAAAAAACCACTAATGGGGCGAAAAAAAACGAAACATTTTTTTAAACTTAGCAATCGTTCTCGTCCTGGCTGACTGGTGAGAGTTGTTTCCATGGATGAACTAGGCTCCGCGACGATTTGGCTGTAAACCCGTGTGAGGGTTATGTGAGATTTGTAATGTAAATAGTGTGTAAAATGTCGTCCTTTGAGGCCCTCACAAGAGGCATGGAAGCTGTCCATGCTTCCAGTTTGTTTCTTCAAAATCATGATGGCCAGAGGCTTTATGTTTGATGCCTCTATCGATAGTGGGTGCTTTGTTGATGTGTTTTCCTGGATGAAACCCCTGAGATTGAAATATTTTTTGTTGTTTGGTGCTGCAAAGTTGCAGATTTGAACAAAATCACCTCAGTCTAGTGTTTTTTTTTCCTCGGCCAGAATTGCTGAACTCGGGCATAAATTCAGACTGAACTGGGTCCGTCTAAAATTCCAGACTTGGCAGGTTTGGGGACCCGAATTTCGCGACAAATCTGCGAAATTGAAAGATCCACGAAATGGCTGCGAAAGCTGCAACGGGCCAAGTCCACCAGCCCCTTGCAAAGTCTCCATGTTTGTGGCCACACTTTTATGGTGAAAATCTTTCACTATTCCTCTTTCTGTTCCTTTAGTTTTTCTTTCTACCTTTCCCTTTCCTTTCTTCTTCCTTTCTTCTTCTTTTCTTTCCTCCCTTATTTCCTTCATTTTCCTTCCCTTTTCTTCACTTTTCCATTTTTATTTCAGAAGGGGTACTCATGGGGGGCGCAGGTGTGCAAATTGTAGAAACGCGCATTTTTTGAGAGGTACTGTGATGAAAGCATCTTCACATGAAAAACATGCAAAAAAACAATGGAAAAAAATCAGACCCATGTCCCCAGCCAGGCCTCTCCCCAGACCTTGCCCATGGGTCTGAACTTTTGTTTTTTTTGTTTTTTTTGGTTTTCTCGAGGTTTTGGCCAAATTGCAAAAAACCATGGAAAAACCAAAAAAAACAAAAAAAACCAAAAAGTTCAGACCCATGTCCCCAGCCAGGCCTCTCCCCAGACCTTGCCCAAAAAGTTCAGACCCTGTCCCCAGACCTTGATATAATTGGTTCATAGAATGATAAATATAATGATTAATTTGAATGATTTTTTGAATGGTTTATAAAATGACTAATATAATGATTTTACACACATATATATATAATGATTAAAAACAAGATTAATATCATGATTCATATCATAATAAATATAATGATTAATCTAATGATTCATTTAATGACTTATATAATGAATATTATAATGATAAATATAATGATTAATGTAATGACTGATATAATTATGAATTTAATGACTAATATAACAAAATCAGGACTTTCACAACCTCGCCCCCCATGACTGCCCGCTCTCTTTTATTTTCCGTTCCCTTTCCCCTTCCTGTTCTTGTCCTTTCTTCTGTCCATTTCCTTTCCTCTTCCTCTTCTTTTCCTCTCTTCCTTCCGTTTTCTCTCTTTTTTCCTCTTCCTTTCCTCCTCCTCTGATGGGTGGATGAGGTGTGTGAAGAGACGGCGGGCAAAGACATTGCAAATGCCAGACATAATCTTTCTCATGGGACTGCGGGCTTTGACCTTTCACCACGTCTTCTGTGAAAGCCACCATTCTGGCCGCGAAAGTAAAATGAACGGATTCGCGAAAGACTTTTGTGAGTACAACCAGTTAGGATATATAGGTTTTTCCCCACCCTCTTCTTCTTGTTCCTCCTCCTTCTTCTACTCTTAGCTTCCTCCTCTGCCAGCTCCGGATGCAGTGGGCCAAACCTGGGCCCGAACACTGTATCGCGAGCTCCGGATGCAGTGGGCCACGTGTGGACCGGAACTCCATATCGCGAGCTCCGGCAGTGGGCTCCGGATGCAATGCGCCATGCTTGGACACAAACACATGCCAGCTGCCAGACAGAATGTCAGAATGTATGGCAGGTAGAACACTCGAAGAAAGTTTTTCTTTACAGTTGAAGTGTTGGCTACGGTATGCTCAGCCATGGAAGCGTCTGGAAATGGGCACCACACACCGATGTAGCCCCAGCTCGATTTGGCGTGCATCGTAGCGCACTCTCGCTTGCATGCGGTGCTCTCACGTTTGAAAGGGACGTCATTTTGCGTGGCAGGTGTGGCACTCTGAATGATTCCTATTCCATCCTGTGGCAGAAGTAAACCTTTGACAAGTTGGTGCAAACATGGCTGGCTTAAAGCGTATTGTTTTTCACGCTGTTTTGTGCATGTCATGGCGCACTCGTTTCCATCCATCGTCCTTGGAAGATTCAATGACATGTGTTGAGAAAAGAAAACAGTTTATGCAGGAACAACGAAACCACTATTGTCCGACTCATGGCATTCAACACGCATAGGGTGCGAACAACTTTAAAATAATTACTTTGTTGCGTGTGATTCCCACCTTGACAAGTCAATCTGACATAGTTTCGGACATAGCATCTGGCATTAAAAATATAATTAATATGTATTCTGACGGGCTCTCTGGCATTCTATCTGAAATAATCCCCGACATTCTATGTGACATTCTTTCTGGCATTCTCTCTTGCATATACATATCATTGTTTTTGTGACGTTCCCATTCTTTCTGGCAGTCTATATATGGCATGTATTCTGGCATTTCATCTGACATTCGTTTTGACATTCCATCTGGTATCATCTGGCATATTTTGACACTCTAACTCGCATCTATTTTGACATTCTATTGGCATCTATTCTGGCATAGTTTGGGAAATTATATAGAGATATTCTAGCATTCTATCTGACGTCCTTTCTGCCATCTGTTCTGACATTCCTCTCTGGAATTCTTTCCGGTATTCCATGTGGAATAAATTTTAACAGCCTATCTGACATTCTTTGTGTCATTTGTTCGGGTCCGTGCGTGCGCAGCCTGAGATCTTCGGGTCCGTGCGTGCCCAGACTGCCGTGGAGCTCGCCAAAAGTTTCTGGGGCGATGGAAGTTATTCCACTTGAGCTGGCATTTGTGAGTTCCGGGAGCTGGCGGAAGGCAGAGGAGTAGCGGACGTGCAGCAGGAGACGAGAGTGGAGGAGAAGTTGCACTTTTGTAAAAATCTAGAGATCCCTCACCTGGCAGGTAGGAAAATTACTTTACTTCGAGTGATCCCCACCATGACATTTCAAAACAGCTTGTTGACACCACTTTTGTCTGAAGCTTTTGTCACGGGACTTTTGCCCAACTAACTATCCCAATCATTTGTTTCACCTGGCAGGTCATTGTACAGGTCAGACTATCAAACAGGATATAAACATGTCAGTGGGCCATGTGAAGTAAACTCCAGAGCTCTCAACAGGTTTGTTTAAACATGACCAAACAAGCCAGTGGACCACCTGAGCCAAACAAACAAACATGCCCAAACATGTCAGCATGCCGCCTGTCAAACATGTTTGTACAAACATGACTGAACCAAGCCAGTGGACCCCTGAACCAAAGTCAAAGGCTCGCAAGCTCACGTCTAAACTCAACAAAACCATGCCAGTGTTACTTCATCAGATCGCTGCAGCTGCAACTCTCTATTTCTCCACCAGACGTCTTCAATCAAAACCGATTAGGTCCCACAGGTAGAGCAACGTGTCAGGCCTATGCCTCCCCCGGACCTCTTCAGTAAAAACCGATTAGGTCCCACTGGCAGAGCACTGTGTCAGGATGCTTGCAATGCATCATAGACAGGCCAGGACTGCAGCCGCTCCAGCGTCGAAGCAGCTTTGGCTTCCAACTTGTCAGTCAGTTCTCGCAAGTAGGTAGGAGGGCCTTTGCGTAAAAGCTCCTCCACTTGCTCCGTGAACCCCAGCAAGATGAGATTCTTCAGTTTGCGGGCACGCGTCAGCATGACATAGATGGCTAGCCACCAGTCCGCATCCTCTAGGCCACCACCACGACGCAAATCAACCAGCACACCTCCGTCCAAAGTCAAGCCTTGCGCGCTGTAAGCAGTGCGCAGCATGCCATGCAAAAGCGGAAACTGCCAGCGAATCACTTCAATTTTCTCCGTTTCCTCGCCTAGTTTCAAATCAATTTTGAACTCTGCGTGCACCAATTCCACAAAGAACAATGTCTTTGCGTCAGTTGTGTGATCGGCCACATTCTGAAACTTTTCTTCCCACATCTGCAACAGAGCATCTTCCATGGGCGAATTCTTTCCTTTAAGTAATTTCACCCAGATACCTTTGGCCATGTAGTCCGGAAAAAAATGACAGAATCCAGGTTCACGACGGTCCAGGCGCTTCTGATCTTCATGGTGCAAATCCACTTTCACTACCACTGCCAGTTTGTCTTTAACCAATCCAAGGTGTGGAGCCAAGACATCCGCCAGTCGCACAACCATGTTCTCGTGCACC